CTTCATATTTAAAGTTATAGAGTGTCTTTTGGAGATGCTATTAGTCCTTAGAATCTTAAAGCTATACTAGAACTTGATCCGTACGACTGTTCATATGTTTGTTTTCATTTATATATATATATAATTATTTATATTATTTTCAAATACATATATTATTTATTTTATTCAATTGGTTATTTCAAATTCACATGTATTTTAGCTTCTTACTATATATATTGTTGGATATGTGTTTAGTTATTTGAAAAACTAATATATGCAAAGTTCAAAAAATTTGAAAATTGTTTTATATTTCTTTTTTATTATTAAAAATGACAAATAAATCTAATTTCAATTTAATTTATAAGTATTAGTAAGTAAATAAGTATTATTTAGTAATTGTTTTGAATTTTATGACAATTTTAAAATATTCATATACACTAATCTTTAAGCATTTAGTATTAGATATTTATAGCAATGATAAAATAAATTATTGAATATTAAATAAAATTTTTATTTTTTGTTTCTAATATGTTAGATTTGAACATATATTATTAGAACATATTTTTTATGTAATGTAATTCAAACATATATAACTTTAATTTGGGATTTACATAATATAGATATATTTTTATCTATTAAAAAAAATATACATCTTATAAATGGGTCAATCACTACAAGAAAACAAAAATATAGCTAGGATGGCTATTCCTAGTTATTTCCTCGTAAAAGAAGGTTTACGAGGAAATAACGAAGAAACGTAAATCGTCGTGACACGTTCATCGCGTTTCCCTTGTTAATTTACGAGGAAAAGTTTCCTCGTGAAGTCATCTACTGTATTTCCTTGTAAAGGCCTCGTAACATTTTTTCGTTAAAGCCACGTAACACTTTCCTCGTAAAGCTCTCGTAATGGTTTCTTCGTTAAAGCCACGTAAACTTTCCTCGTAAAATCCCGTAATGATTTCCTCGTTATAACCATGTAAACCAATCCTTGTAAAGTCTTTGTAGAGGCACAGTGCAAGTCCTAGTAAATTCCCCGTAAATTACGAGGAATTGAATTCAAATCCTTTTTTCCTATATTAAAAGTAATAATTAAAATATATAAATAAATTATTTTATAAAATTTAAAATTCAAATAATAGAAGAAAAGTAAAATATGTATGCATAAATATTTAAGTTTTAAATTTATAATACAATAAAAAGAAAAACAAATTAGGGGTGTTGCTCGTGAAACTGTCGGACGAAGTCTTCACTCCTCTCTACCTCATCGTCCTCCTCCTGGCGGCTTGGCTATGGCTGTGGTGGTGGCGGTGGCTGTGGGTGTGGAATCCCTAGTTGTTTCTGTCTGGCATGCAACATCATCTCCAATTGCGGATTTGTAACCGCCAAAAGGTCCAGAAAACTTTCGAGAGAACCCATTTGAGCATGCATCGTGCTCAAATTAGAACGCGTCGCGTGCAACTCCGAACGTAGCTGTGAAGTCTCATTTTCCCACTGCTGAGCATAAGACGATGTCGTTCTTGGGACATCGTTAACGGAACCAATCCCCACAATACGTCCCTTTTTCTTAGGGACGACCTTTAAATAAAAGATTAATGTTAGTTAATGGAAAAAACATAATAAGAATACAAATTTACCTCCTCATAAATTCGATCCACGTCAGGTGTCCCATCGGGAGACTGCTGAGTCATCTGGGTTTGGCGCTCTTCAACCCGAGCAACAACCTCGTTGTAGATTCGCTGGGACCTAAGATCTACAAATTAATTGCTCAGTCTTGTTTTTGTGGGTCCTCTCGTAAAGCTCCTTGAGAGATGGAAGAACTCCTGTCTATTTAGTCTAAATATATTTTATAAAGTAATTAAAAATATATATATATATATATATATATATATATATCAAAAAGTTATTCAAATATTTACCATTTCTAGACAGATTCTGGCGTGAGGTTTTTAACATGTACTGTGGAGCATCTTCGTGTTGCCATACTCATCTTTCGTCAAACGGTTAGCGGAGCAGCTGTTGGAGGTTTTGATCGACTCTGGCTGGTTCCAATAATGGATGAGGCCATCGCACACAAAATATGTGAGGCAAGAGGGTTTCCCCTTCTCATAACCATCCACTTCATAATCGTCATTCCAATTGGAGACAATTTACAGCAATCTTGCTTTCACCTTATGCTCAAACTCACTCTTCACGGTAACCAAATAAATATTAGATTAATAATTAGTTCAATAATATTAAATAATTTAAATAATTTTGAAATAAAGTTTTTAGTTACTAATCACTTATAGTGAACATTTTGCATCTGTCAGTCCATTACAATATGGACAAGCTAATCTCCCATGTGTAGTCCATCCAGACAACATACATATACAGGAAAATCATTTATGGTCCACAATAGCATCGCTCGTATCGTAAAATTCGTTTGAACAATCATATGTCATCACCCCTGTTGACCACAAATCTTTCAACTCTTTTATCAGTGGTTGTAGAAAAACATTGAGAGATATTTTTTGGATGCTTTGAACCAGGTATTAATATGGTCAAGAATAGAAACTCTCGTCGCATGCACATCTTCAGTGGCAAGTTATACGGCGTAAGAAAGACTGGCCACAATGAATATTGTCTCCCAGACATTCCAAATGAACTAAATCCATCAGTGCATAATCCAAGATACACATTCCGGCTATTGCTAACGAAATGTGGATGTACTTTGTTAAAATGTTTCCAAGCTCTTGCATCTGATGGATGAGTCATCTCCCCATCCGTCTTAGTATGCTCGGCGTGCCATCTCATCCCTCCAGCAATCTCTTCAGATTGGTACAAAATTTTCAATATGTCTGTGATTAGTAAGTACCACATTTTATGGTATGGTACCCTATTTTGTCCTCGCCCTTCGGTTTGAATCGTGGCTTCTTATAGAATCGACATTCTTCTAATTGCTCATCATCTCTCCAGTAAATCATGCAGTTGTCGATGCAAACGTCTTTCATCTCCGAGGGCAACCCAAGACTATAAACCATTTTCTGAATCTCATAATAAGATTCAGAAGACACATTATCTTCTAGCAAATACTCTTTAAACAAGTCTCTCCATGCATCCATGCAATTTTCAGGTATATTGTGATCAGTTTTAATACTCATCATTCTAGCAGCCAACGACAATTTATAGAGACCTTCTCTACAACCACTGTAAATTGGCTCATTCGCAGCTTCTAACATTTCATAAAACTTTTTTGCATCTAAGTTAGGTTCTTCAACTTCATCATCATGAGTTACAAATGCATCACCTACCATATCATGAACCTATCACAATCGACCATCTGTTCCTCCTGGTGATAACTATTTTCATTATGCAAATGATCAACGGCCGGTACATCTTGAAAATTGCTATTACTACTGCTAGCTTCATTTCTACAACTATAATCTTCTCCATGTTGTTACCAAATATAGTAATGTGGCATGCAACCTCTATTTAGTAAATGCTTCCAAACATTTTCACGAGAGCCTAATTTTGTATTGTTGCATTTCCGACAAGGACAGAACATCTTACCGCTTTCCTACAAGAACGGTGTAGAATCTACTTAATGCATAAATGTCTCCAACCCTACGAGAAATTCTTTCGTCACTCTCCCGTTATTATCTTTGTATGTATATATCTACCTCCGTAACTCAAAAATATTACCAGGACCGAAAACCAAAAAATCCACGTATTTTCCTCATAAAACTACTAGGATTTACGAGGAAGCCCTTTTCTCAAGAGTTTACGAGGAAAGTACGTTGGATATTTGTTTCCTCGTAATATCGCCGTAATTTTACGAGGAAATAGTCTTTGTTAAAAAATTATTTTCTTGTAGTGAATATAGTATGTCAATATCAAATGAATCAATACTAATTAGTAATTCAATTATTTTATTCGTAAAATTCAAAATTATAGGAACTTTTTTTTTGGAAAAAACATATGTACGTTTCTCAATCTGACAAAGACTTTAACATTTTTTAAAAATTGTCGAACACTTTTTCTATCTATATTATAAATGTATAAATTTAATATAATCGTAGATATTTTAAATATATGATTTGCATTTACTGGTATATATAATGTAATTATATAATTTTATTGTTTTTTATTTGACATTATTAACATATAAAGATTTTTATACATTTTTACTTGTTATAAATTGTTATTGCATAATAATATGATTTCAAATTCGTTAGAATAAATTAATTATTTAAAATAATCAAATAGATAACTCCTTCAAAGTATATATTTTTTATTTCTACATTTCGCATGCAAATTTTTGTTTTTTAAAAAAAGATTTAGCTATAAAATAGAATATATATTTGTTTAGGATCATTTATATTTCCTGGCTGTGTTTAAAATATATAATTTATCATCTATAGTCTTAGTATATAGAAGGATTTTATAAATAAATATATTGTTATATTCAAATAATAGACTTATTATTTTAGTAAACTGTATACATGGTTTATGTTAAACTCTTTTTAATGGCAAATCATATTTATAGTGAATTTTAAAAAAAAAAAATAATGATAAAAATAAGTTTATTAATTAATTTTATATTTTTAATAAATCATTCATATATTACTTTTATTTTAGTATAATATATACTATAGTTAGAAATTTTATGAAAATATCATATTTTTTATAATAAAATTTTAATTAACATTGATTTGAATAAAAATATAGTACTAGTTACAAAATTAATTAATGCTTTATTATATAAATATATTTAAATTGTTTTGTAAGATTTTGTTAGATTCTTTCAATGTAATTTATATAGTTAAAAATAAAATTAAAAAACAATTTTAGAGATGAAGTTGTTATATGTGTTGATTATATAAGATGATATGATATCTTAATTATGCCAGTATATTAATAAGAATAAAATGAAATATGATTTCCTAATAAATATTCATTTAAAAACACACACACGCATAAATGGAAGTTTTTTTTTTTTTGAAAAACACATAAATGGAAGTTGTGAATTTTATTTTTATATAATAGATAGTATTACTTCGTATTAGTGTGTTTTCCCGTAAAATGATATATAAAACGAAGACATTAGATGAAACAAAAGTCAAATGTGAAATGTGTGAGAGTAAAAACAAGAGAAACCATTAATTAACCAATACAAAAACAAATTTAGGGTTTACGGAAGACTCTGCCGGCGATAAGAGCTGCGTCCATGACAATGGAGATGACATCAATGACTTCATCAGGATCGCATGTGTTACCATTGAACGTCGGTTGCTTCGAATTGCTGAAATTGTTCATGCAATTTATGAACTTCTGACTACACTCTTGGCTTAGATAATCATCTACACATCAATTGTCAACTCATGGTTAGCTAAAATTGTAAATTTGAAAGTGGGAAAAAGAGAGAGTGTATGCGGTTAATATTACTATTCTTGGATTGGACACAGGCATCATGCTTCATGCAACATGCATCAAGACCATCACAAGGTCTCTCTCCAGGACATCCACTGTACAATAGTCCACAGTACTTCCCATACCTCAAAAGTGGAGGCACTGTCCAGATTATACACCATTAATATCCACATTAATTTTTTTTACCACAGAAAATGACACGTGTGTGAATTTTACAATTAGTTTAGAGATTGTTCACCTGAACAGAACTCTGATTCACATTTCCGGCTACATTCTTTGCTCTGGCCAAAAACAATTTAAATACCAATGATTAGTATTAAACCGGATGTATACCAAAGGAGATAACAAATACCAATTCCTTGTTTGTAGAAGAGATCTGTGTGCGTTTTTAAAGGGGTCCATTATTAACTAATTTTATCCCTGTTTTCATGATCCTGTACTTTTGTAAACAGCTATTGTACAATCATTGATTCATATCAAAACGAGAAAACATGAAAAAATTATCTAACCAGAGAAACGGTGGGATGTGTGAGCTGAACACCGACGTTAAGGGCAGAAACGGAGACAGAGAAGACTACGAAAAGGAAAGAGGAAAGTATGATCGGAGCCGCCATTTTAGAGAGAAAAAAAAGTCTACTGGAAAAGCTCGGAAAGTGAGAAGAATATAAACTGAAAATATAAAAGGAAGGTAGAAGACGAAGAGTCCGTGACTGACTTTGTTTGTCGTTTCATGTCTCGTGACTACTCTACTAATCATATGTCTATA